GCAGGCCAGTCCCTGGTCGGGAACGTTCGATCACCGTTTCTCTCACACATCGATGTTTCTCTCCCTCTCTTCTCCATTCCTTCCCCTAAGAATGAATAAAATCTTTAGGAAAAAAATTTTCAGATACTCAAAGCCAATGTTTTCTGGTGTTTCACCCTTTTGGAAAACATTCCATTTCTTCAACACCACGCAGTTTCATTTTGTAAAGGAAAGGATTCTTCCCATCATCTTTTTGGAACTTCATTTTTTTAAACGAATAAAGCCAATTTCGTAATTCTGATTTTTAAAAATTCTATCTTGTTTCCAGTCATAGATTCGACTCCTGTTCCTTTACATTACTAGGTTTTATTGGGGGTGGGGGTGGCAATCTTCCCCTTTAAACTTGAAATTTTCTCAAATTGACCCATAACCACAAAGTAAAAATGTCTTACAGATCAACTCTCTGCTGGGACTTTCCCGGTTTAAAAATTGAAAGCCCTACCTCCCAGTAACTCTCAACCTCCCTGCATTAGGTAAACCATGACAGTTGGTCACCCTTGGTGTCACTGATGCGACCCTCACTCATCTCTGGCCACCATCACAGGCCTGGTTACCCTGCAGGTATCTTCCTGAGAATAAGATTTGCCCTTAAAGCCACAAAGTAGGAATGATGGGAGAACAGTAGCGTTGGCAAATTTTCTTCATATTATGTAGTCAAAGCAAAACTGGATATGTTTTCCTTTTTAGTAATCCGGCAAATCGGGTTTAATCTGTCTAAAATGCAGTCTTCAAGTCTGCTTCATCCTTGTGAGTGTTAAAATAATTCCTTAGTTTCGTTGATCCTAATTCAGTTTGCAAAACTTTAAGTGCAGCTTAATTAAAAATGCAGATTCCTGGACCCCAGCCCCTGAGATTTTAGTTCAATAAATTAGGTCTGGGGTGAGACCAGAAACTTGCAGTTGAAAAAATAAAAGTAAAATGCAGTTGTCTTGCCTTTGGTTTGTAAAAAGGAAAAGATGGTTCAGTACATACAGTTCCCAGAACCGGACATGAAAACAGGCTTGACAGCTAATCCTGTTTTCCCTGGAGATGGCAGGACTAAGTACCTCAGTTTCCTTAGTTCTAGATTGTGTTCTCCATTGAAAAACACCTGTAATGACATTTGCAAATGTTTTCATTTCCTTCAGGGGCTGAATTGTAACTCCATCAAATACATCAGATGTTTCAAACTAAAGGACAGTTGTTCTTCATTGTCCTCAAAATGATAGTAAAGCCGGGGCACCAACATTTTTCAGTCCCCCCAGAAATGTTGGCTCCAGTAGAGCCCCAAATGGCTAATGACATCAAGGACAGCGGTTCTCAAAGTGAATGGCAAAATGAATGGGTTGCAACCACCATTTTTAGATAAATAACTAGAATAGAACATATGAAGGTAAATGCTACTTTATAAAACTTATTTGGCTTTTAAATACTGGTCCACAATCCTTTCTCCAAAACCACTGGGACCAGACATGTTTCCGAGTCAGGATTTTTCAGAATTTAGGAAAAAGTTTTCAGTGACTGCTGAGCTGAGCAGAGTACTCTTATTGCCACCAGTGAGTAGAGCAATGGGCACCATTTGGCAGAGGAGAGTCCAGGGATGTTGCTTATCTATAAACCAGCATCTTGGCCTCAGGTAACAAATAAGAAGAAGAACTTTGATGGGGTGGCAGTGGAAGAATAACACTAAATCTTTTTTTTTTTTAATAGACTTTTTTTTTTAGATTTTATTTATTTATCTTTAGAGGGAAAGGGAAGGAGAGAGGGAGAGAAACATCAATGTATGGTTGCCTTTCGTGCGTCCCCTGCTGGGAATTGGCCTGCAGGGAACTGGCCTGCAACCCAGGAATGTGCCCTGACCAGGAATCGAACCGCGATTGTCTGGTTCGCAGGCCCGTGCTCAATCCACTGAGCTACACCAGCCAGGGCCCCACTAAATCTTTTGATCAGCCTCCATTTTCCCCCTGATGGTGTAAATTGTTCATTTTCTTGCCATCCCTTTCCAAGCCGCAGCTGCATTGAGAGCTATTTCCCATCTTTCTGGCTGGAAACCAGGAAAGTCAAATGACCTCCAACCCTGCCAGGACCATACATTAGTAAGGGATCCAAGCCCTGGCCTCGCTTTGGGTTCCTTCTGCATGAAATCACAGTCCCACAGCTGTGATTTACAGGCAGAATAAAGATCAGCCTTGCTAGCTAGCAACAGAAACATTCTCATCAGGCACTCGAGAATTATTCTTCAAACTTGTTAATATGAGGTGGAATGTAAGTAGGTAAATGAGCAGATAAGTCAGTGCTCAGCCCTGTGCTGCAGTGCCATTGCTTTGGCTGGGAACACTCTTGGAATCTGCAATTGCTTCAACTTCCTCTATCCTTAAGCCTAAAATTCCAAAGTCATCTATTTTGCTTTTCTATACAAAACAAGACCTTTTAGCCCTAACAGACCTAAATATCACTTAGCTTTAAATTTGTGGAATAGAAGGGGGGAAAACCTATTGTATTGACAAAAGGCAGTGAAATCTGCAAAACTTACCATTTACTGAAGTTTCAACAGGAACTTGGCTTCTGAAAAAGTGTTTTTGTTAAAAACTGGAGGTTCTAACAGTTGCTTTATGGGGACTTTTAACACATGCTTTTCTAGCTCACAAACTCTAGCTCATGATTATGGGACTCCCAAGTCACTTCTTTAATCCTGGGCAGAATTGTGCAGTCAATTGAGAGGAGTCTAGAAGCTCCTCTCCCAGTCAGACTAGAAGCTCCTAGAAGTCAGGCACCCAGAATTTTTATTCTTCTGATTCTTTACTGTCAAGTGGAAAGCTTTAGATCCTCAAGTCTCGAGACTAAAACAATGCATTCTCAATGATCAGTTTGAGGCTTGTATGTTAGCTCTCCTTGGTATTAGCACTTTAAAACTGCTGTGGAAGAGAGTGAAGCTTAAACCAGAGGAATGAACCTCTGAAAGGTGGAGTTTAAGGGACTTTGATGTCAGTGTGAGAGGTCTCTGAGCAAAAGCATCTTTCCTGTGCCGTGATGGTGGTATCCTCCATACACTGGTTGAGAGTTGACCAGGTCCTAAACTTGTCAAGGTGCATGTCCTACAGTGCAGGTTAAACAACCTAATGGTTTCAGTAAAGGGTACAAAAATTATCATGTAATTGTTTACCAAACACAATTGAATATGTTTACCAGTTTAGCTCAAAGGCCAAATGAGGTAAATTAAAACCATACCTACCTTCCTGGAGTCTTAACTCAGATGCAGCTAAGTATGGGAACAAAAATGGCCAGTTGTATTTAGCAGAAGTAAAATGCCTCAACCAAAAAACATACAACAAAAATTTCAAATGCCTTTAAAGCTAAAAAACATACAGTTTCAAAATTCAGCAAGTGGTACACTTAATGCATGGTTGTGTGTGTAGGCATACATTACATGCGCTCTTGAGAAAGAATTTTGCTTCAGGGTTTTCCCTTTGGTATACATGTTGTGAACAACAGAATAAATTATGTGTGAATTTAAGCAAAAATCTGCAGAGAAGGAAAATTCAAATTGGGTAGGGTTTTTTAAAAAGATTTTATTTATTTATTTTTAGAGACGGGAAGGGAGGGAGAAAAGGAGAGAAACGATGTGAGAAACACTGGTGACACAGGCATGTGCCCCTACCAGAATGAACTGGCAACCGTTCACCTTGCTGGATGACCCCTAATCAACCAGCTAAGGCACACCGGTCAGGGCAGTTGGATAGTTTATTCAATGAGATGGGTTTAGAGCCATTTGGGGGGGGGGGAAGGTTGGATGTTTTAAGCATGGGAATACATAAAAATGAAAAGGGTCTTTGAAAAGGAAGACAAAGGATGGAAGTGTTGAAGTATAAGGAAGTGAGCAGGATGAGGAAATGGCGAAAATTACCAAAACCCCTTGTGAATAGGTTGAATATGATATAAGGACATTAACGACAACACTCATAAGGAATGTTTGGCGGCGGTAGGTGGTGAAATTTTTTACACATCCAAAGTTTGGGACTGATGGAGTGGATAGCAATGGCTGGGAAAGCTGGTGGTGGGCAAGTGTTAACCGCAGAGACTGAGGAGTGGGCTAGCCAGTGCTGAAAATGATTTCATAATCATTAGAATGATTTGCACATGCATTTGATTTCTGATAACACTGCTTTGAGCCTCGGGCAATTCTAGTGTTTATCATTTCCCCATATTCATCACCAGCATCTCCTCTACCCCTACCCTTCCCAGAACCACCTGCTACTTTAAATACATCGAATTTTACCAAACCGGCTTTGAAAAGTTAATTTTCATCCGTATGTACATCGTTTAGGTACGCGGATACCTAAGTAATGTGACAATTCCGAGTAAATACCTGCTTTTCGAATCTGTTTCCTTTTTTGAGACCCTCGCTTGTTTAGGCTAATTAGGGAGTCAAGTATGACCGACCGCTTCATTGACTTAAAAAAGCAACTCACTCAGTTCTTTTCCTGAGTTACTAGCCTGCCCTGTACTGTCTGCCTGCTTAATGACAACGAATGCGAGGTAATGAATTCTCCGCTATCTGGTTCTCGAATTCTCCCACGGCCTTCAAAGTTGGGTACTGCAGTTTGTTCTTGTGCTGTGGCTAAACTGAGAAGCTGGAAATGCCTACCACTCTAAAGGCAGACGGATCGCCAAAGCGGAAACCCAGTTAAGACCTGAGACTGATCTAGAGAGGAGAGAACGGGTGAAGAGCGAAGCGTGCCCTTCTGAGGAAAACGAAATCACACCGCCCAAGCTGACCCGCTCCAACAGGCACCGCAGGCTGAAGTGTACGGGGACTCACAGCCCGCGTGCGCGCAGCCTTGGGTGTGGGAGCGCCCCCTCGCGTCCCCGCGCAAATGAGTCCGGAAGGCAGGTCTCTGCGTTCCTTCCACTCCCGCTAGCTCGGGCCCGGGCCGCCGGCACGCGGAGGGGGGCGGGGCCGGAGCGGGAGCGCGCGCACGGGGCCGCGGACAGGGGGGCGGGGCGGCAGAGCTCAGCGGCTGGGCCTGGAGAACGGCAGCGGCGGAGGAAACGAGTAGAAGCGGGAGTGGCTCGGAGTTGCCGTATCGGACGCGGGCACCAGGAAAGGAGAAGCGCAGAGGTAACAGAGGACGGAACTGGCGGGCGGGAAGTGGGCACGGGCTCGCTAGACCCCGAAGGCGAGTGGCAGAGGCCGCTCACTCGGGTACCAACGCCACTTCTCCAGAAAAGGGGGCGGGGCGCTGGGGGGGTCCCCGGAGGTGGTGCCTTTTGTCTGCCTTCCCCGGCCGCTCCGCCCCCTCCTTCCCCTCCCCTCTGCGTCCTAGCCCCCTGCCCCTCTAGTTGACGCTCCTCTGGGGCCCACGCGCGCGCTCCCGCCCTTGTTTTGTTTGGACAGGGGTGGGGGGAAGCGGGAAGAGCACTTTCCGAGTCCTGGGCCTTGCTTCCCAGCGCGCCTGCGCCAGTGTCCGCCCAACGTGCCGCTATTGGCTGAGGATTTGCGCATGCTCTGAGGTCTGCGGCGGGCGTCGCGCGCGGCGCCCGCCCTCCCCATTATCCACCCCCCCCCCCCCCCCACTGCCTCAGCGGTTTTCGTAGCCGGTTCGAGAGATGCCGGTGGCAGTGACTGGCTGCGGCGGGCCCGCCTCCCGGGCCCTTCGCCTCTGCCGCCGCCATTACGGAGCTCCCTGTGGTGAGTTAGTGGAGCGCTGGTGCCAGCGGTCCGCGGCTTCTCGCGTCGCGCGGGCCGGCGCCGCCGGTTGGTGGCGTCGGCCTCTGCCGTGTGCTTCCCAGAGCGTGTACCCCGAGCTGCTGCCGCCCCGCAGCCCCTTGGCGTCCGCCGCCGCTGAGCCCTCCCGTCACTTGCTTCGCTGCCTTCATTTTGGCTCCGCTCTCCCCCCGCCTTCTGCTCGCGCACCGCACCGGCCGCTCCCTGCGTCTTTGTCTCTGCTGTTTTTTGTCGCGTTGGGCTCTGCGGTCTGGGTGAGGGTTGCGGATCCGTGGGCGCTGCAGAGAAGGCGCTGCTACTGCTGCCGCGACGCGGGCCTAAGCTTTCGTTTTCCCGTCTGGCGTTCCTAGAGCTTGTCAAGTAATAAAGTCAAGCGTGTGAATAGGAGCGTTGTAAAGAGACAGAGGCAGGAGTAGTAAAGTGAGGACCTCAGGACCGAGTTTTGGTACCTAATTGACCACTGTCTGTGACCGAGGACGAGCCCCTTAACCTCCGAAGGAGTGTTCTCTCCAGCGCAGAGGACTGACCAGGTGAAGTTTACTGCCACTTCCGCGTGTACGTTCCCTGTGTTCGTTACGCTTCCTGAGTTCCCACTGCAGTTAAATGTGAGTCCAATTCGAAATTCACCTGGAACCTTATGGTCAAGCTGTCTTACCTCAGAGTGAAGTTAGATTTGGAAGATACTTTAATTTTGTTTAATTTGGCACAGGTATAGAACTGACCGAGCTTTTTAAAATTGCATTGCACCATTCAAAAGTTTAGTGTATTTGTTTCAAAGTAGAAGTAATATTTAAAAAGGGTTTCTGGAGGGCTTTGTTTTTGGACTTATGTAGAAAATTGAAAGCGGGAAGTTTGTGGAGGAAGTGTGCAGAACTTTTCATATAATGATTAAAACTCTGTTTAGCTAGTTACTGTGATTACTGTGACTTGTGAGGAAGGGCTATGAGTGTTCATAGTATTTATTCCCTAGGTAGACACTAACTTAAATACATACTGATTTATGGAGATGTGAATGTGAAAAATAAAGTTGCCAGTAGTCAAATTACAAGCATGCTTTCTCTGACATTGCCCAGTAAATCTGAATATCGTGAAAGATTTGAGGCTAGCAACAACTAGATGTATTCATTGCATAGCTGGTGACATTATAATGTACTTTTTGTGGTAAAGTATGAAATAATAGTGCTTTCCCTAACATCAGTATTTTCAAAGATATCAGTAAACTGAAATATATGAAGCTCCTAATTGTTTGCCTATTGCTCTCTCAATGTGGGGAGGGTAATCTGAAACTGAAATTCTGGACTTTCTACTTTTACAATTTTTTTCTTTATTACCTGTGCATTAAAACAATTTGTATTTCCCTTGAAAAAGCAAATCTATTATTAATCTAACATTAAAATTTTAAAAATCAGGTTGATCACCACAGGAGGGCCACATAAACCACAGATAAACTCAGATTGTTTTTGACACACAGAGGACCCCAAATGAAAACTTTAATAAGTTTCATCTATTTTTTTCACATTCTATGCTTGATGTGTTCTTAGGCACCAAGTGTGCGGCAGTGAACCAGCTAGATAAGATCATGAGGAGCAAGTATGGCAGCCTAAAAGTCTGATCATGCTCACGAGTAGCAACAAAAGTTAAATTAATAGGTACATGGTGATGTTAGGGCAGAGTGAGTTAACCATTTATATGTTTTTGCTAGCTGTCTAAAGAACAGTGAACTTACTAAATAAGTCATTAGTCAACCCATGACAAAGAAAGTACTGTAGACTGAACCTTTAAATTCCATGACCTTTACAAAGGAGAGTCAGAGCTGAGGCAAACACGTCTTAATATTTACCTCAACTTTGGGTTTTACTTTTTTAAGTATTCTTCATAGTACTAACCACTATCAGATGTCATTGTTCGTTTAACTTTTTCCCCCAATATTTATCCAGCACCCACTATGTTTGGACAATTCTAGGTGCTGGGAATACAGTGGGAGGGACACATACTAAACAAGTAAACAGCCATATTGACTTTTATGTGGTGTTAAACGCGATAAAGAAACCTGAAGCATAAGAGGGATGGGAGGCCTTTCTGATCAAGGGGTAGCATTAAGCAGAAGCTTGATTGATGTGTCTATGCAGTGTTCTGGTTTAAGAGAACAGCAAGTGCCAACACTGACACAGGGATGAGCAGAGGACAGCCCAAGGGCCAAAAGAAAGTCTGTGTTTGGGGGGTCAGGAGAGCAGAGGGATCTGTAGAGCAGTAGAAGGTAAGATTGGTGAGATAAAGGAGGGTGCAGTAATTGGGAGGTTTTAAGCAGAAGAATGTCAGGAGCTTGGAGGTAAGGGGTGGGCCAACCAATTTATTCCTCCCTGTGTGCTTATTTCTGAGGTTATTTTAACCTGGGCATACTTATCTGGTCTAATTTAAGCTGTCATTCTTGTTCTGAGGTTGATGTCTGACACGTTTATGGACTGTGTACCTGTTATTGCCCAGATTTTAGTCAGTTTTATCACTTTGGCATCAAGGGCAGCTTCCTGTGTCCCCTCCCTTTGTTAACCTGTTTTAATTTTTAGTAATTAATACAGAGTTGACTGGAAAGGTTTTGACACTTTTTTCAGTATTTTGTTTATTGGGAAAATACATTTTTTAAAAGGTACCCTGTGAGTAGAGACTTCTGAAGGTTTTGTTGACTTCACCATAGCATTTTCCGTCTAACTAGTGTGTTACCAGGGGGTAAGAAAGATGAATTCATTAGCAATATCACTTTACCAAAATAACCTGATTGTGATGTTTTATTTCTGTATAATGGTCATGTAATAAAATAGCAGATTTGCCTCGTTTTGATTTATTATTATCAAAGAAAGCATATTGCTATCCAAGTGCTAGTGGACGGATGAATGAACAGATCATATATTGAAATGATTCCAGGATAGACGTTTAGGTTTCACAAACCTAAATACTGCTCTTAGACCCAACTTGGCTCTCTTTTCACAAATCAGAAAACAGCTATCTTTATTCCTGTATTTTATGGTGGTTTGAAGTGTAATGCTGTATGAGCATTTTAAGTAGTTTTGTAACAATTGATAATTTTTAGGTATTCATGGATATTCCTAATTTATTCTTAGTAATAAGTTTTAGTGTGTTATACTGTCTTGAATTCTTTCAGCTCCTTTCCTTGCAGCTGACTGACAATCCACAAATCTGGTTTTGCTCTTGGTGTTCCAATAAAAAGATTTTCCCTGTGGCTGTGGAAACATTCTCTGTGTTTGAATGTTTGTTTATTGTGTTTAAATATTTTATTTATTTATTATTTTTAGAGACAGGGGAAGGGAGAGAGGAAGAGGGAAAGAAACAGGTGTGGAGAGAAATATCCATTGGTTGCCTCTCACATGCCCCCAACTGGGGATCTGGCCTCCAACCCAGGCCTGTGCACTGACCAGGAATTGAAATGGCGACATTTCAATGCACAGTACAATGCCCAACCTACTGAACCTCACCAGTTAGGACTGTATTTGGATGTTTTGGATTTGTCCCAACTCTTTTAGCTCGGGACTGTTACTTGACAAGTTGAAAGCTCTTAAATTCATAGACAAGGTTGGAACTAAAAGTCTACCAACTCTGTTAATTGTTCATTGGCACAGAGAGATAAACACTAACTGATCTTTTTCTTATATTATGGAGGGATTATAAAAGTGCCATGGAGTCCCAGATGGGATTTTGGTGGGAACAAAGAGTGTTAATGATCACATAAATTTGAGTGACATGGCTTTTACTTACAAATATTTAATTATATGCTTCTGTGCTAGTTTTGCTTACATTAAAAATATGACAAACGAGGTTTTAGAAGCATACTTTTGTTTTCCTTGGTGATGGTCTAAATCAGGGGTGTCCAACCTTTTGGAGTCTCTGGGCTGCACTGGAAGAAGAAGCAGTATTTTGGGCCACACATTAAATATACAAACACTAACGAAAACTGATGAGCAAAAAAAAAGGTTTTAAGTAAATTTACAATTTTGTGTCAGGCTGCATTCATAACCGTCCTTGGCCGAATGCAGCCTGCAGCCTGCAGGTGGGACACCCCTGGTACTAAATTTACTTCTCTGAGTCTGGAGACTTTAGTATGTTATGTTCTTCTGTAGTTTTTTGTTGTTGTTGTTGTTGTTGTTCTTGCTTTTTTTCTTTCTTTTTTTTTTTTTTTTTTTAGTTAATTGATTTTTGAATAAATTGTTCCTTAATCTCATTCTGTCCTAGCTCCTGATGTTAGTGGGATGGGATGGTGCTTGGTTCCCTATGAGCTTTCTTGTGCTTGTTGCCTTCATTCTTGTGGAAGGTGCAACAGCTGCTATGGCTTGTGCATTCATTAGTTGCTGCTTTACATCGTCTGTATTTTGATAGAGATTTTATATTTCTGAATGATAGCTGACCAAGTCGTATGTCACTTAAGTATAAGTATTATACATTTTTGTTCCTTTTGCATGTATGTTAAAATTTAGATGTTTTAGTTTAGTTTTGTTTCTGTTAATCTTCACACCAGATTTTTTCTGTGCTTTAGGTTGACTTTTCACCACACTGAAACCATTAGGAAAAATCCTTGTGGTTAACAGCAGAGGCTTCAGAGTGTAACCTGTACTCGGGCCTAGAAATTATTTTAAATGGCGACTGATATGTCTCAAGGTGAACTCGTCCATCCTAAGGCACTCCCACTTATAGTAGGAGCTCAGCTGATCCACGCGGACAAGTTAGGTGAGGTAGGGGCTGACATATTCTTGAAGCTCACTCTTGGATCAGTCCCTGACTTCAGGCTCTTCTGGGTCCTTCTTGGTACATGTTCCTTCCCCTACTTTGGGGAGTCTGGATTTTACAGAGTTCTTTTCATCTCCCTTTCCCCCTCAAATTTCTCAGAAAACCTCCAACCTTCTATATTTATTCTAAATCAAATATAATTATTTGTTTTCATTTTAAGTTCTTGCTAAAAGAAGTATTTTGAAAAGTACTTCTTAAAAATTAAATTCACTAAAAAAAAAAAAAAAACTTGTTAATTTGCATCAGATCCTGGAGTAGACTTAGAATTCACTATCTTCTGACACCCAGTTAGGCCCCTTGGGAAAGAGAGAAAAGAGAATTTTCTAATGCATGTGTGATTATGGCCATCTCTTTTCTTAGAAGGTAGAAGATAGCACCATGCCGATTCGTCGAACTGTAAATTCTACCCGAGAAACTCCTCCCAAAAGCAAGCTTGCTGAAGGGGAGGAAGGAAAGCCAGGTAAAGTATAGAAGTGAACAACTTAAAAAGGTGAAAGCTTTTATTTCAATTTGGAGTGTACCATAAATTCCCTTAACCTTAATTTTTTTTCATAGCTAGGTGTTTTGGGAGAACATTTAGAGAAGCGGTACCTGTCGGTATGTCATTTCTAGACCATGTAGGCAAAATGAGGGTTTTATCCTGTCTCTAAAGGTTTTTGGAAGGTGAAAATCTCATGTTTTTGGAATTAAAAACAAAAAAAAAATGGAGAGAACAGAACAGTTGAAGAGTAGCTTCTGGGCATACAGTGTCACGAAGATGAAGACTGACTGGAAGAGTGGAAGACTTCGGCCTTCAAAATGGACTGTGGAAAGCCCACCCAAAAATCATCAGGAGGCCTTAAGGAAGCAATGGGTGATCAGAACATTGGTTTAGAACTTTGGTATTGGTGAAGAGAAGGTTGGCCACACAGAGGTGGGAACATAATGAATTAAGAAAAATGTATCACCATCAGCCTATTCATTCCTTTGTGGCATTTCTAACCACCTCTTTTTTTCCTTGGTTTTCTTTTTTCTTAAAACCTTTTTCTTTTTTTCTTTTTCTGCTTTCTTGCACTTTATCTCAGGTTTTCTAGGATGAACACATGGTGCTGTCCCCGTCTTGGCTGTTAGAACCGACTATTTGCTGACCAGCGTAGATAAGACATTAAAAATATATGCACCCTAGCCCTGGCTGGTGTAGCTCAGTGGATTGAGCACAGGCCTGTGAACCAAACATTCGCTAATCTGATTCCCAGTCAGGCACATGTCTGGGTTGCAGTCCAGGTCCTCAGAAGGGGGCACACAAGAGGCAACCACACATTGAGGATTCTCTAGCTCTCTTCCCTTTCCCTCTTTCCAAAAGTAAAGAAATAAAATCTTTAAAAGTATATATACATATATGCACACCCTTGTTGCCTTTATCCCTTGGTTCACCAGGATTATAATCTTTTCAGGCTGAGCCAGGATTTTGTCTCAGATCCTCAGATAAATATTATAAGTAATTTGTGTATCCTGGCCTAAGGCATTAGGTAACATGGGAACCAGCATGTTAAGAAATAGTAGGTGCTGGTGAGTCGAAGACTGCATATTTTGTTCAGCACTGAGATAAGCCACTTAGTGGCACATCTTGATCCCTGTTTAACAGCCAGCTGAAGCCGCTAAATTAATAGTAGCATCAGTTTTCAGAACACGTGCCAGAGGGTTTGGTTGTAAGGTATTAATTAGAAAGGTCACCCAAGAATCTATAAAGGACCAGTGAGTCACTTCCCATGTTGTATGTTTGTTTAATCTTCTCTCTACCCCACTAGAGTATTTTGTACATGAAAATAACTAGACTTCACTTATATTTTTAATTTTATAAGCCCTACATTTCAAACAGAAACAGACAATAGTTTAATAGGTTGGAAGTGATGTTTTACACATAATATATGTTTTAATATCTGTTGAGTGACTGAACCTTTATTAGATAATTATGATAAAAATACGTCTTGCAGTTATCTGTATTGCCAGATATCATTTTTATAATGAAGCTCTAGCCTAATACTTTGTGAAACACTTCTAGAAACAGGAGGCCAAAGGAGGATGGGAATCACCTACATAGTACAAGAGCCAGCCTATAGTCTTCCCCTAAAACATTTTATTTTTATTTTTTAAAGATTTAATTAATTTATTTTTAGAGTGGAAAGGTGGGAGAGAAACATCAGCATGTGGTTGCCTCTCATGTGCATGCACACACATACACACAACAACACCACCACCACCACCACCCCATCCCATCCCCAGATCAGGCCTGCAACCCAGGCATGTGCCCTGACTGGGAAAAGAATCAGCAATCCTTTGGTTTGCAGGCCACACCAGCCAGGGCAAAAACATTTGATATCATCCTAATAATAACTGTGAAGTAGGGTTACTGAAACTTGGAGATGTCAAAGAATTTGCCCTAAGATACCAAGCTGGAAAATTATGAACACTAAATTAGAATCCAGATGTTTCTGACTCAAAAACCCTCAATTTTGGGGAAACATATGGGAGGAGTTTCTATTTACAAGTAAGTCTGGTTGAAGGGCATGATCCAGGATGATGACATTTACAAATGATAGTTGACTGGCCTAAAATTTATGATTTAGACATTTAATTTGTTGAAAAACTAGAAATTTCTTTAGAATTGTATATGTATGGTCTGGTTATAAGAAGGAAGTGGCATTTTAAAATTATTTACGTTGAAGTCCAGAAAGAGGTTTTCATCATTATGCCATTAATCAATTTAAGTCACTAAACTCTTGAAATATGTATATATATTTATTTATTTATTTATTTATTTATTTATTTATTTATTGCCTAATTCTTTCCACTGGAGTTATTTTCTTTGGAGCCCCTGCTTAACCATTTTCTGGGATTCTGTGTTTTATAGTAGCTGCTCAAAGAGATAAGCAGCTGCAGACTTCAGTATCTCCTCTCAGGTTTCTACCATTGCCTCAGTCATTTCACCTGGAAAACACGTTAATTTTCTGTTACTTATTCCTTACTAGGATTTGATTTTTAAATTATGAAATGGCTCATTTCTTAATAATAAGTCTCATTAATATTGCAGAGTAGAATGATCAAGATACTTGATTTGGGGTGAAATGATTTTCCCTTTCTGCGTAATTTCCTGGTCTGTATCCTTTTCTCACATAATTGTTAGGATAAACACCCTGTTGCATAGACAACTTGAGTGATGTAACAAGGAAAGAAAACTGCACTCACAGTCATTTGATCATTTTAGAATCCATTTGTTAATTGAAACATTTGACTTACCTGTTTAATAAGATAAACTTTTACCCTTTTATTGACTCAGGCTCTAATATATCTACTTGGTGCAATTCTGCTCACCTGATTTTTTAGAACCGGACGTAAGTTCAGAGGAATCTGTCTCTACTGTAGAAGAACATGAGAATGAAACTCCACCCGCCACATCTAGTGAGACAGAACAGCCAAAGGCAGAACCTGAGAGTGAAGAAAAGGAAGAAAAGAAGTCCTCTGAGGAAACCAAAAAGGAGTAAGCAGTTACATCTTCTTGCTATATATAATTAAAGACTATGTAAAAGGACTGTAGACAAGATTGTTTTAAAGCGTTATAACATTGGTGTGTGCTAGGTATTTGCTATTTGGTTTTACTTTTTAGAATTACCATTTGAAATAGGTTTATTATGTAGTTGTATGGCCTGTTAGACTGTGCAGTACTTTACAAGAGTGGTTTGAATAATCCAAAATTTATTCCATTTGGCTTTGGAGTGTGTTTTTGTGCTTAGAATTCATTATAGGAGTGTCTTATATTTTAAGCATTGACATAATTTTTTAAACTTTTTAATTTATTAATTTTAGAGAGAAAATACATCAATTTGTTGTATCACTTATTGATTCATTCATTGGTTGATTCTTAATATGTACCTTGACTGGGGATCAAACCCACAGCCTTGGGTTACTGGATAATGCTCTAACCAGTTGAGCTTACTCAGCCAGAGCAGAGCATTGACATAATTTCAATCAGAAATGAAACAGGAGTATAAAAATCTAATCTGGGAGATACTTAATCATTGTACTCCTCCCTCTGTGCCAGGAGTGGGTTATTTTTATATGCTTATATTAGAAATCATTAATCTACAGCATCCAGCAGAAGTAAGGCCTGCTTGAGTGTAATTGGTAGGGAGTAATAATATTGGTGTAACAATTTATAGTTTTAATTTAAACATTTCACCTAAAATGTTATATGGTGTGCTTTGCGTGTGATGTTGTTAATGTTAAAGAGTTACATGCTTATGATTTTGTAATGAAGAGTTTGTAATTTAAAAACTATTTGTTCTTTGTGCCAGACCTTGTATATCAGGCTATTGCTGGAATGACCTAAAACTTTGTATATGTTTGATGGAGTATTCAATTGTAGGGTGACTTTGACAATCGTAAAACAGCCCTGGTTGATGTGGCTCTGTGGATTGAGCACTGGTCTGTGAAACAAAGGGTCGCTCCCATTCAGAGCACATGCCTAGGTTGTAGGTGAGGTCCTCAGTGGGGGGAGGGGTGAGAGGCAACCACACATTGATGTTTCTCTCTGTCTCTTTCTTTCTCTCTCACCTTCTGTCTAAAAATAAATAAATAAATAATTTTTAAAAGATTCGAAAACAATCCCTGGCTGGTGTAGCTCAGTGGATTGAGCGTGGGCTGCAAACCAAAGGGTCTCAGGTTCGATCAAGGGTTGGATTCCCGCGACCCAACAACATGCTTGGGTTGCAGGACAGGTCCCCAGTGGGGGTGTGCAAAAGGCAACCACACATTGACATTTCTCTTCCTCTCTTTCTCCATCTCTTCTCCTCTCTCTAAAAATAAATAAATAAATAAAATCTCTTTAAAAATCTGAAAACAAAGTTTGTTGATAGTCTGTACAGTGTAGTAGCGATTCTTTTTTAACTAAATTTTTTTTTGCAAGACAGCTGGTAGCACTTATTTTCATAATTGGTCAGAACAGTTAGGAATTACATTTTAGATAAAAGAATAACTTAGTAATAACTTTACCTTCTAGCTGTAGTCCTCAGGGAATCCTTTATCCCAGTTTCATAGATACACGTAAAGTCTTAAAGTTTTAACAGCTTCCCTGTGTTTTCAGTTGATGCAGTGCTGTTATTACATAAAATAATTCATGTAATGCTTTGTGGCTCACAACACTGTTTTATAAACATAACTTCATAATTCTTTTAACAGCGTTGTGAAGTGTTGGGTATTATATTACAATTTTATAGCTGAGGAGGCCGAGACTCAGGTCACTTGCTAGGATCTTGTAGCTTACGTTGGGGCTAAAAAAACTCAAACTGAAATTATCTGATTTCAGAGTTTGAGTTCTTCCCACTGTACTAAATTGCATCTGTTTAGTTGGAATACATTTAAAAATTCTGATTTTTTATATGTGCTGGCTGTTTATACCAGCACTAACTTATAGGACTCTTCTCTCCTGTACCTAAGAGAAAACACCTTTTTAGTTTATTTATAGTAACATATTTTTAAAATTTGTTTTGTTTAGTTTAAATTTGTTTAAATTTTTGCTTATTTGTCACTTCAATGTGGAAGTAAATTAAAACATTAATTTTTATTTCTCCCTGGTTTTTTGCTCTTTCTGACTTTATGCCTCTTTCTGGAGAGTTTATCTTGCACAATAACAACTCTTTGTTTTAAAGAGAAAAAGATCAGCCTAAAGAAAAAGAGAAGAAAGTGAAAAAAACAATACCTTCCTGGGCTACTCTTTCTGCCAGCCAGCTAGCGAGGGCCCAGAAACAGACAGCGATGGCTTCTTCCCCACGCCCCAAGATGGATGCGATCCTAACTGAGGCCATTAAGGCAAGTTTTTATTTCCAGCAGTTCGTCTTAGATTTACTCTGTTCATCTTCTGCTTATTTGAAAATGGCATACTCCTGTCAGACATTGGAACTCTTGCTCTGCTTCCTAAAACAGATTTAAATAGAAAAAAGCCATTGTGAAGTTTGTTTTAATACTATAATTATTTTTGATGAGCACTGTTAATTTTTTTATTCATGTTTATTATAGCAAGTATTTTTTTAACTTATCTTCAGATTTTTGTATGCAGTTTACTGCTTGAGTGTAGTTTTTATTGAAGGCTTAGCAGGTTAATTCATTGACAAATACTTAAGAACTAACCTCTCTGTGTCGGGCAACTCTACAAGTGATAGCCTAGAAAAAGACAAAACGAGGCCCTTGTCCTTCGGAAATCTAATTGTGCCTTAGAGTAAGTGAATAACATTGAGAATTTTTATTTAAAAAATATTTATAATCCTTAGGTCTGTTTTCAAAGTTGAGTATTTAGTAATTGTTATCTTTCAAACCTGAGTTATAAAAAATTCTCTTAACTACTTTGCTTCATCTCCTAGCCATTCCAAAATACTTGCAAAATTATCCTCCTTGCATAGCTTTGTGACTTGGCTATAATCCGTTCACTTTCATTAGCTTACTCGATCAAGTGTGAGTTTTTTTATTTTAACTTTTTAAAATTTTAATTGTTGTTCAAGTACAGTTTTCTGTCTTTTATTCCCATCCCAGCCCAACCCCCAGCCCTCCCCACCTCCCTCCCATTTCCACCCCCCTTAGTTTTTAGCCATGTGTCCTTTATACTTCGTCCTATAAACGCTTCTCCTTTTCCCCTGAAATTCCCCCCCTCCGGCCACTGTTAGCCTGTTCTCTATTTCATTGTCTTTGGTTATATTTTGCTTATTTGTTTTGTTGTTTAGGTTCCTGTTAAAGGTGAGATCATATAGTATTTGTCTTTCACTGCCTGGCTTATTTTAATTTTTAAGGTTATCTTCAACCTGACCTTGCCAGGTTTTGTGTAAATTCATCAGGTTAAATTTGCCTGTTTATTTCATGTGATCAGGTGGTAAAAGGAGTTAAAATAGAAACCATAGGACCCCTCCCCCTCATTTCAGGGACCCTGTCCTTAGATCTGAAGAAGAGTTGGGGAGAGAGATACAGATCAGTTTAACCAAGGGTGGTGTCTATAGGAAGGAGCAACCTGGTAGTCAATGTCAGAATCCAAGAAGACAGCACTGACACATACTGGACAAGGGTTTGCCCTCAGGCTCTCCCTGCACTCTCCAAGAGTGCTCTCACCTCATTAAGAGAACTTAACTTCCTTGTTCTACATAGCTTGACTGTAGTAAGATCTCTTTTCTTTGTTGTCTTCCTTAAAAGAGTAGGGTTACAGTGAGGATAGAGAAGGGACTGAAGTTTTAAAATAGTAAGGCAAAAATTTAAAACAGTATAAATCAGGCCTAAAGAATAGTTTGAATATGATTGTGTTTGTGTGTGTGTGTGTGTGTGTGTGTTCTAAGCAATGTAACAAATCATGATTTCAGACCGCTGATACAATTTTCTGAATCAAACAAGAGTCTTAGTGTCTACTTCCATCTCATTTTAGCATTACACGGTTCTTTTTTAGCCTGTTTTCTTAATTTTTTTTTTAAACTAAGACCATGAGTAAGCAATAGTCTGTAGTAAGTCAGAGACATTTACTTGAAGTAAGTGGACCCATATTAACACAACTTGTTTTTTGTTGTAAAATCTTTTCTGGTCCATCTATCTGTGAGTTATTTTTTTGTTATTATCAAAGTGTATAAAATAACACTCAATGAAATCTTTGTTTAATGAAAATGAGTTTGTACTACATTCAGTTTATAGACAGTGACAACACAAAATTGATGGACTGGGCCATGAGATAAGTAACAGATGCTGTTTGTGTGCTTCAAAATGTAAAGCATTTGAAAAAATTTGCTGCCTTGGTGACATAATGACCTGCTTAAGTCTTCCATGGGTGCTAGTCAAATGGAATATAGATAGAATGGAAACAAAAGAGGGTACTTCACATTGCAAGTTAATGCCCTGTTGTTATCCAGAACTTTCCTTAGGACTGTGCTCTGTGGTGGCCAGTGGGGAGGTAATTTCAGACGAAAAGGGGAAGGGTTTACAGGAACAAGTATAAAGGACACATGGACAAAAACTAGGGGGGAATGGAAATGGGAGGAAAGTGGGGAGGGCCGGGGGGGTTGGGCTAGGATGGGAGTAAAAGACAGAAAACATGTCCCTGATCTGGGTAGAGTTGCACCTGGCTTGGTGGTGCTTGGCTCATAACAGCCACGGACAAAGTAACTCCTTGTTAATCCCAGGTTGGCTTTTTGGTCTGTGCACATGCCTGGTTCATGCCTTGGGCACATGGGGGTGGAGGGGATAAATCAATAAATAGAAAACTGTACTTGAACAACAATTAAAATAAAAAGGACTATACTCTCTGTATTCAGTTTTATGCCATTTATTCAGTGTCTTTGCTTATGTTCTTTGTTGCCATACACAGAGCGTGCAGAGAAATACTGGTCCTGGTGTGCTGAACCTCATTCCATAAAATGGGCCTAGTCTGTGATCCCGCATTCTGCTTTCTTCATTTTAAAGCTAAGGATTTGCCTTCTAAATACAGAACCAAATGAAAATGAAAAGAGGTTCCTTATTAACACACAGAATGTTATTCATGTGTTGTATCTTTTTGGTATTTTGAACAATTTTAGTTGTTGCAGAAATATTTTAATTCTTCATTTCTCCATAGCCAGGATGAACTGAACTGAAATACTGTTTATTCTCTTCTGCATTATCCATTATTAAGTTCACTCCTAAAATAATTGATTTTGAAAACGTATGTCAGCTTTGCTGTCTAATGAAAAAAAAAAACCCAGCTAGTTTAAAGTAATGTGTATGCTTTGGTAAATCTGTTTTCTAGGCATGCTTCCAGAAGAGTGGTGCATCAGTTGTTGCTATTCGAAAGTACATTATTCATAAGTACCCTTCTCTGGAGCTGGAGAGAAGGGGCTACCTTCTGAAACAAGCACTGAAAAGAGAATTAAATAGAGGTGTCATCAAACAGGTATTAAATAGTTGTTGGTAATAAAAATCATTCCAACGTGTGCGTCTGTATTTAGTAACATTTAGGCTTTTGTGTCTTTTTTGTTAAAAATAAGATAACATAATGAAATGCTTAAAGCTTAAACTAGTTTTATTATCTGAGACTGAGTTTCCGAATCACTGCCAGTTACCTTTTATAACAATAGGGTAGACAGTGTAATTATTTTCTAGCTGCTTGTATTTTTAATTGGATTTTTGCCCGGGGGGGGGGCGCGGGGGGGCTACTTGTGCTTGACATCATACAGTGCTGAAAATGAAAAGTGGGGTTGAGGGGGTCCTGTCATCGCCAAAGCAGAAGTGATCTTTGCTTTTGTCTTAAGATTTTAAAGCCTTGCTTTATGACTAGACTTTTTGCCCTTATAAATTAGCTTTGTAAATAGGTTCACCGTTACTTAATGGTATCTAAAACTATTAAAGTTTGTTAGGAACATGAGAGAAGTCTGAGTAACCTGAGACTAGTACTAAAACCAGTATTGATTTCAGGCATGAATCTGTGTTACTTCGCATAATGCATCAAAATACTGCTTAGAATCATGAAAATCTAAAGCTAAAATGGACTTACCTAAACCTCTTTGGAGGTTCAGAGAGAGAAGGTAACTACCAAGGTCCCACGGGAGAGACGCAGATGGTTCTAAGGACCCAGTTCACTGCATTTTCAGTCCTCTTGCCGTTCTTCTATACCTTTTTGCATAATTTGGTTAATAGAGAAAACTGTTTCTTTCAGGCATTTAAACTTTGTTTAGAACCTTTCAGCAAGTACTTAATTACACAAGCATATACTGAGTGTCTCCTTGTTCCAGGTGCTTGTGTGTCCATCAGTGAGGAAAACAGATTCCTGCTGTGTGGAGCCTACATCCTATAGCAGATTCTTCCGAATGTTGTAAAACCGATATTTAAGTGGCATTGATTAAAAGATAAATAATCATTGATTATCTAAAATAATCATTGATTTAAAGATACTATCTAACCAATATAATTAAAACAAATACCAGTCCTATATCATAATGTATGTCAGCACAATTTACGAGCTGACTTTTTCTTTATGAGAATGTGGTTCGTGACCTATTCTTGCCTCATAGCCTGACCCTCCATTTGATATCAGCTGGACTGCTATATTCATAGCAGGGTAGGTAAAGCTAGAGTGTGGGGGACTCAGATTAATGTAACTCAACTTTAAAAGTCTGGAAGTGCTTTGTAAACTGTGTAAATATGTGGTGTGACTTACATAACCTTTCCCATATGCAGGAATAATCTAATGGGCAAACTGTGGGAAGCATTGCAGCCTGAGATCAACTAGGCTGTAAACTTTTGCCAACTACCTATCATACTTTCAAGATAGAGGGTTTTTTTCCTACCATTTTCCCCAGGAGATTGTGTCCCTTCCTTCCATGAGACTTTCTTTTTATTTTTTGAAAGTTTATAGTAGACTGTTTAATCTGGTATCAGCATTCTTCCCCAATTTTGTAGATGAAGAGCCAAAAGCTCAGAGGTTTTACAGGGTTGTCCATTATTGAATAGCTAGATGATACCATGTATTATAGGATTCAATCCCCAGTCTTTTGACTAATCTGTTCGGGTTTTTTGTTTTGTTTTTTTTTTTCCTCTGACAAGTCGAACAGCACTTTACAGTAGCTCTTGTATCACTATGCCCTGTAATTTGCTTAATCTGGAATAAAGTTGTAAAGATGAATACCAGAATCATTTAAAATACAAATACTGGTTATTATAACAAATTAATTTACTTTAGGTAAAGGGGAAAGGTGCTTCTGGGAGTTTTGTTGTGGTCCAGAAATCCGGAAAAAACCCTCAGAAATCCAGAAACAGAAAGGTAAGAAGTCTATTCCACAGTCTGATGGTATGCTGTGATCCTCCTACTGCTTACTCAAAATAGCAACTTGGTGCCAGGCACTGTGTCAGGCTGGCCTTTCTAGTAAGTCCTAGAGAAATGACAAGGAATTTGCTCATTAAACTAAAAGAGGCAAATAGGCATATTCTCATTCAGTATTACACTCCAAAACTATGTCTAGAGCCAGTTCTTCTCTTTTTTAATAAATACTAAAGTGTCCTCCCCAAGATACATAATTTCATTTATGGAAAATATACGATAATAAAGTGAAACATCTAGTATTTCCTCTATGTCAGTAATTGAAATCATGAATACTTCTCACATCTTTTTTTTTAACAACTCTGAAGATTTTTTCTACTTTTTTTTCCCATAAAACTGGACAGCACTTTCAAAGTGAACTTCTGTATACCACTCTTGAGTACTCCATCATCCTTTTCATTTTTGTGTGTCGAAGGCTAAGAATGAATTAAGACCTTAAAGTCTTATCATTTCTTTGTATTTAACTCAGTCTGAAATTTTTATCTTAAATTGCCATGCAGCTAACATTCCACCACTATGATATGGTTTGTTTGAATGTGAAGTGATAGTTTTGTGTTGATTTAACACAACCAACTTAGAAAAGCCTTGGAGTTGAATATAGAAACATTTGACTAGAAAAGCTGTTTATTGTCTAATGATAATTTTGATACGACATTTCAGAACAGGAGCTCTGCAATGGATCCAGAACCACAAGTAAAATTGGAGGATATCCTCCCACTGGCCTTCACTCGCCTTTGTGAACCTAAAGAAGCTTCCTACAGTCTCATCAGAAAATATGTGTCTCAGTATTACCCTAAACTTAGAGTGGACATCAGGTATGACATGTTGGCCTGGACTGTAAGGCATGGATGTCTGTTGTTCTCTTAGCCCCTTTTCATGGGACAGGAGAAAGATTAAATATTCAATGAGGGTTACTTATCACTGAGCCAGGAATAAAACCTTTTCTGTGGGTTTAATTTTTTTGTCCCATTTTGTGTTCTTTCATATCTCCATATATAGTTTCTTTTGAAACCCACACTGCTTGTTAACTTTTGTAAGACCCTGACAGAGTAACTCTTTCATGATGACAGCTGCTAGAATATGCAGCCTTAAACTTTGTGTACTCTCATCTGTTCATTACTTTTAATTTTTTCTTATTGTGGTAAAGTACACATAAAAACATTTTACTATCGTAACCATTTTTAAATGTATAGTGCTTTAATGGTATTAAATGTATTTAATGGTATTTATGTAAATAATACCATTTACATTAATGGTATTAATGTAAATAATGTGCTTCCATCACCACCGTCCATCTCCAGAACTCTCTTCATCTTTTAAAAACTGCAGCTTGGTACCCATTAAACTAGAACTCTTTCTCTTTTCCTCCAGTCCCTAGTAACCACCATTCTGTTTTCTGTCTCTGATTTTTCCCTACTCTGCATACTTCATATAAATAGAATCATACAGTGTTTGACTTTTATGGTGACTAGGTTGTTTCACTAACTATAATATCCTCAAGGTTTATTCATGTTTCTCATGTGTCAGAATTCCCTTTTTAAGTCTCAGTAATACTGCATTGTATGTATACACTTCATTTGGATTGTCTATTCATCTTTCAGTGAACCACTTGAGTTGCTTCTAATTTTAGCTGTTGCAAATAATTCTCCTATGAACATTGGTGTTTATATCTCTTTGAGACTGTGCTTTCAGTTCTTTTCGGTGGAATTGAAAATTCTAGGAGTGGAATTGCTGGATCATACAACAGTTGTATTTTTAATATTTTGAGGAATCACCATACTGTTTTCCACAGTGGCTGTACCATTTTACATTCCCACCAACAGTGCTTAAGAGTTCTAATTTCTCTATATCTTCACCAATAATTGTTACTTTCTGTTTTTGTGATAGTAGCCTTTTTAATGAGTATGATGTAGTTGATACTATATTTTATTTATTATTTTTTAAAGATTTTATTTATTTATTTTTAGAGAGGGGAAAGGGAAGGAGAAAGGGAGAGAAATATCAATGTGGGCTGCCTCTCATGTGCCTCATACTGGGTACCTGGCCTGCAACCCCCACACATGTGCCCTGACTGGGAATGGAACTGGCAGCCCTTTGGTTTGCAGGCCTGCCCTCAATCCACTGAGCCACACCAGGCAAGGCATTGTTCTTTACTTCTGTGAAACCGCACTGGTTTTCTTTACCTCTGACTAGTAGAGTCCTCTTGTCATATATTTTTTTTAAATTTCACATGAAATTTAACCATAGGAAACTGGGCCAAAGGAACAAGAAAAATACAGTTTTATCGTATCAGTTGTCTGTAATTGCTCACTATAATTTTTGTTCTCCTACTTCCACTTAAATCCACTTCTGTCACACCTTATTTTAACCTCACCATTTTACCTGAATTACCTGTCAGTGTCACCTATGACTTCCATGTAGCAGATTTCAGTGGTTCAGTGGTTAACTTATTTGCTGGTGGTCTCTCATTGGCATTTGACAGAGGGTGACTGCCACCTGATTGAAACACTCTTTACTTGTTTTTCAGGATGCTATTCCCTCCTGATTTTCCCGCAACTGCACTACTTACACTTTTTCAATCTCCTAAGGATTGCTGATTTCCCATCTCCTGACTCCTTAATATAGGAGTGCCCCATGGTTAGATTTTAGGCCATTTGTCTTTTCTATCCACATTCTCGTGGTAATCCTTTTCACTCTTAATGCTTTAAAACCACTTGTATACTACTAATTTACAGATACATAAATTTAGCTCATGCCTCCCTTCTGATTCCACACTCATAAAGAAGCCTATTTGAGATCATTGATGTGTCTAAGTTGACTATCCAAAACTGAAGTCTGTAAACAGTTACTTCAGATCTGTCGTGAAAATATATTTATAGACTTTATTATCTTTACTGTTACCACTCTTTCCCAAGCCACTGTCATCTCTTACCCATGTAAGAGCAGTAACCTCTTAACTGCTTCTTTCACATTCCTCCTTTGGTCTGTTTTTAATATAGTAGTGAAAGTGAGACTTATAAAAAAATGTAAGTTAGATTATATCTGCTCCAACCTTCCAGTGGCTTTCCCTCACAGTTAAAGCCAGAGTCTTTAGAATAATCTACAAGGCACTACACTTACATTGCATCTCTCCTGCTACTCTGAATCTCCTACTACTCTTTCCCCACCCCTTGCTGGCCTAAGAGCCTTGCCATTCTCTTTGCCTGGGTGGTTTCCCCCCATAATCCACTTGGCTTACTCCTTCACTTCCTTAGGTTTCTGAGTCTACTGTTATCACCACAGACCTGCCTTGATTGCCCTACTTTTTTAAACACTTTATATTGAAATTTTTCAAACATATACATATGTAAATAGTAACGTACACTTGAAACCCATGTGACCCTATTAACCAATGTCATGTCAATACATTTAATAAAAAGCAAATGAAAAATACACTTAAATTTTAAGGGAACATAACCATCATACTAACATTGTTTCTAGCAAAATTTGTAATTCTTGCCCTGGCTGAAGTGGCTTGATGGATTGAGCACTGGCCTGTGAACTGAAAGGCTTCCCTGTCAGGATGTGTGCCTGAGTTGAGGGCCAGGCCCTGGGTGGAGCATGTGAGAGGACACTGGTAGAAGTTTCTCTCTCACATCGATATTTCTCTCCCTTTCTTTCTCCCTCCCTTCCCCTCTCTAAAAAATAAATAAAGTTGTTTTTTAAAAATAATAATTTTTAAAAAGAGATTTTATTTATTTTTGGAGAAAGGGAAGGGGAAAATGAGGGAGAAACATCAATGTGTGGCTGCCTCTTGTGCATCCCCATCGGGGGACCTGGCCTGTAACCCAGGCATCTGCCCTGACTGGAAATCAAACCAGCGACCCTTTGGTTTGCAGGCTGGTGTTCAGTCCACTGAGCCACACAAGCCAGGGCTAAAATGACTTTTTACAGTTGTTTTTTCAGGTCAGTATCCAGCCGTGGCCCACATGTTGCAGTTGGTTGATAGGATCACCTACATTACATTTGCAACCTTGCCCTCCTTTCCTAGCACTCAGACCTCTACTTCTCTGCCTTGTTTTTCCTCTATAACATGCATTACATTCTAACACAATGACATATTTCATTTGCTTTTTTTTTTTTTTTTAAGAGATGAGGGAGGGAGAAAGAGGGAGAGAAATATCAGTGAGAGAGAGATACATTGATCAGTTGCCTCTCACACACTCTGAACTGGGCATTTGGCCTACAACCCAGGCATCTGCCCTGACCAGGAATTGAACTGGCAACCTTTTGGTCTGCAGGCGGGTGCTCAGTCCACTGAGCTACACCAGCCAGGGTTCATTTGCTTTTTTCAGAAAGGTAACCTGTCTACCCCATGAATCTGACCCCATGAAAATGTCAGATTCTTGAAGGCCAGGATTTTTAATCTGTATTGTTTTCTTCTGTTTTCTGTAAGCCTAGCACACAGTGGATGCTTAAAAAATTATTAGTTGAATGAGTGAATGGATGAATATGGGTGCTTCACCTGAACATTCCAGTTCCCCGCAAGGCACATAGGCCCTGGAGAATATGGGATTAAACATGAATTTCTGCTTCCATATACTGGAGGCTGTAGCGCTTTGTGGCTAAGCAGAGACTTTGCAAGCAGTCCCCTTATGTTTAAATTCTGATTCTGTCATTTTCTAGCTTTGTGTGTCTGAATGAGTCATTTCTGTTCCTCAGTTTCCTCATTGATAACTAGCCTTTAACTCACGGGATCATTAGGAGACTTAAATCTGTGAGTACATATTAAGCCTGGCATGTAGTGTTACATGTAAGTATTAGTTTTCATGGTATCAGCATGAGATCATGCTAAATATGGTTCTGTTGTTTAAATACAGTGTCTTTTATGTAGTACACAAAGCACTTCCATTTAATAAAAATGACTCTGTGCAACCCTAGAGAGAAAACTTTGGGTTGGCCTCTAAGAAGTTGTCTTTAGAAGCTTTCGAGGATAATTATCATGTGGCATTAGAAATCAAACTTTAAAATTGAATCCTAGTGTATTGTGAACTTTGTCATACTCTTTATTTTTCTTTCTTTACTCATCCCAAAAATGAACATAGCCCAAGATTTGATTTTTATGCCCAATATTTTACTCTAAACATAACAAGGTCTCTCCAGAAAGTTTCCAGCTAGGTAATATGAAAAATAGAGATGTTTATTGAAGAAGATATAAGATGTGCTGTACATATGACAATGACACCTCAGTCCCCTTCAAAGTAGGCACGTGGGGACCTCATAGTTTTCCCAGTTTCCATCAGCTGCCCTATTATATTTTTCTGAATCTCATCGATGGTCTGAAATCTCTTTCCTTTAGTTTTGGGAAAGGCCAGACGTCACAGAGCACCAAATCTGACTTGTAGGGGGCTGAGTTGCCTGGGTGATTGATGTTTTGCCAAAACACACTCTGCATAAGCAGGCACATTGTCTTGAAGAAGCTGCCAATCACCATTTGCCCGTAGCTGCAGCTTTCTTAATCATCCAAATAGTTTAAACAGAGGGACATTCAAGCTTAACACAAAATTTGATGCAGATTCATTGCTGTAACTCACTCAGTTATTTTGAATGTGATGGCCACATAGTCTAATACATGCTTATTCATTGACATCTATGAACATCTATCACCCCACTGACTAGTACAGGGAAATTGTGATTGTTCACACATGCACATTCCAGTCCACTGTCTTTGGCTGCCAGGTTACATTGATGTTTCATAAACCATGCTCATTGCATTAATAATTGCTGGACTTCTTACAGACAGCCCTCAGATTTCTTTAGAGATCTTTTAGGTTTT